ATTGCACTATTTCTACTCATTAGCTGCCATTCTCTGGTTTTTAGTTTTGCAAGGTTTCAAAGTTACGGAGTTTCCTGAGTTGCAATATGAGCGGATGGGCTCCTCCTCTGGAGTTGGCATATGTGGAGTTGGAGAAGTGGGGGAGTGTGTCTCTGTATATTTGCACATGTTGTCCTTTTTGGAAGTGCACTTTCATCCTCTGCTCTTTAAACTCTTATTTCTTCAGTTCAGGGAACTGATGTTATAGATGAGAAAAGTGGATCTCTAGGAGGTTGCTGATTTACCCGAGGATATTACACACCTATTAGTTATGGAGTTTTTTAGGGGCCTGTGAAATTGAGTCTTCTCAGCTTAATATATGCTTTTTCTAGTTCTTTGCTTTGCTCTCCACTATTTGGCCAACATACTTTTTATGTCAGCATGAGGAAGGGGAACATTTGATACTCGTTAATTTTTAAAAGGAGTTGATGATGAGATCCAGTTACATCTGGAAGAAGGGTGAGCAGGGTCTACAAGATGTTGCTAGATCGTTTCATTGCAGTCTGAGGTATGACCTGCTGCATTGGGAATCCCCTAAAGTTGATCTGACTCAGAGTGGCTAACACACACCAAGGATCCCAGAGTACGTTTTGCCTATTTAATCTTGCAAACTCTTGCTTGTCTTTTATGTACCAAAATGGTTCTGGCCTTTGGAGATTGAAAGGTGCCTGAGACAAGGTCTTGACCCTCCAGGAGCACAGTGAAGGACAGGTGACAGGCCGTGACGTAGTATCTTATGAGCTGTGCTGGAGAGAGGCCCAGGGTGGAGAGCCATGGGGGCATGAGAGGACACTTAGCCCAGACCTGGGGCCCCGAGGAGGGAACTTGACTGAGTCTTGGTGAGAGAGTAAGTGTTAGCTAGGCAGAAGGGGGAAAGCCAAGCATTTTGAAGCAGCACTTGCAGAGGTGAAAGAGATCCTTTGGTTTCAAGGAGCTATAACTCTTCCGCATGCTGAATTATGGGGTGTGAGGGGAGGAGAAACCAGAGCGGAGGCTGTGGAAGTAAGGTAGGGACTAAGTTATGATGAGGTCTGAAGCTCGCACTAAGGAATCTAAATTTAATCCCAAGAAAAGTATTTATTAAATATTTGTGGAGCACCTGCTATGTGCCAGTCCTGTTCCGGGCAATGGAGATTCAACTATAAGGAAAATAGATAGTGTTCCTGCTCTCGTGGAGTTTAAGTTCTGCTGTGGAATACAGACTGTAAGCAAATAAAAATATATGTCAGGTGGAAAGCACTATGAAAAAGGGAAAAAAACAGCGTGACAGTGAAGGGTGGGGGTGCTCTTTTATGTAGGATAGTCAGGGAAAGTTGTGGTGATGAGGTGGCATTGAAACAAAGAACTGAAGGAAGTGAGTGGGGAACCACATGTGTATCTGCAGGAAGAGGCTTCCAAGTCAAGGAGCAGCCATAGCAAAGATTCCAAGGCAGAAGCATGTGTAGCATGTTCCAGGAATCCTAAAGAGGGCAGCGTGAGTGAAGGGGAGGGAGCAGTAGGTTGGCGATGAGTTTCAAGATGAAGTCAGGAGATCGTGGGGGGCCAGACTGTGAAGGGCTGTGTAGGCCACTGGAAAGACTTTGGCTTTTACTTGGGATGAATTGGGATGCCATTGGAAGCTTTAAGCAAAGGAGTGACTTGATCTGACAGGTTGTGGCAAGATCACCCCAGTTGTTATATGGACAACAGACTGGGGAATGGGACATGAGTGGAAAAGGAGAGACAAGTCAGGAGATTGTAGCAGTGGTCCAGGTAAGAGATGGTGGTGGCATGGACTAGGGTGAGGCTGGTAGGAACAGGGAAAAGTGGGAAGAAATTAAAGGTTTATAAGCATGATCAAATTTGTGTTTTAGAGAAGTGACTCTGATAGTGCATGGGAAAAAGAGTCGGTGAGACCAAGAGTAGGAGCACAGAGGCCAGTTATTGCCCTGCCAAGGCAAGAGATGGTGAGTGGCTTGGACTAGACATTTGTTTACTGGTCAACACATTCTTTACTGTTACTGCAGCCTACTCGGGGAAGCAGAATAAAGTCAGGAGACCATGTGTTAATATGGGGAACCAGTTAAGCAAAGGAATCCAGGTTGCCCGCTGACTATCTGTTACTAAACCTAAGGGGCTGGATGTTTAGAGGACAGTAGGCAAGAGAGAGAAGGTGTTTGCTTCTCACAACCTAACTTAAAGTGTCGGCCTTGGTCAAAACCCTTTTTCCCTGCTGGCCGTGCATTTCCCAAGTCCAGCCTTCCTTCTCAAGTTTCTCAATCCCTGGATTGGAGTACCACTTTTTCTTCTCCCATCCAGTTGGTATTTACCTCATAAGGCCCGGGGCCTAGCCTACCTTGAAGCTTCTCTCCCTCTCCCAGTCTTCCCTGCCCTGAATGTCTGTAGCATCTCACTTTACTATGTATCGTCTCAAATAAATAACATGTTTTAAAATAAACTGAAACCTAGTCAAGGACTGCAGTTGTTTGTTTTGTTTTGTTTTTTGAGGAAGATTAGCCCTGAACTAACATCTGCTGCCAATCCTCCTCTTTGTGCTGAGGAAGACTGGCCCTGAGCTAACATCCGTGCTCATCTTCCTCTACTTTATATGTGGGACGCCTACCACAGCATGGCGTGCCAAGTGGTGCCACGACCCCACCCAGGATCCAAACTGGTGAACCCCAGCCACTGAAGTGGAACGTGCACACTTAACCACTGCGCCACCGGCCCGGCCCCAGGATTGCAGTGTTTTTGATTTACATTTTTATTTTGCCACAGTGCATATGGTAAAGCCAGGCACCTTATAAATATCTAGTGTTATCTTACCTGGCACAGTCAGATTCATGACCTCAGTCAGAAGACTCTGCCCCATTTCGAGCCTTTCCTGTTCCTGTGGGGACACAGCTGCAGTGTTGAGCAGGAACGTGATACAGAGGAGCCATTGTTGTGTGTGGAAGCAGTCATGCCTCTCCCTCAGGAGGAGATAGGGCCACTCCTGTCTTCTCTAAAAGTCAGATCTCAGCCATCTCTTTGTGGCTCAACCCAGGAAACATGTTTAGGGTGGTCAGGCACATGCTGGATACTGGTGTTTTAGAGTTTAAAAAAATATGTATATTTCCTGCCCTCTTAATGCTCACCATCTAACTAGGAAATAAGTCTATTTCCTATTAGGTTTATTTGAATACTTGTGCGTGTGCTAAGTGGCTGAAAGAACATAAAATGGGATTGGCCCCCCAGTGGGGAATCAGAGCACTTCACAAAGATCTGCTAACCAACACCAGAAGTGTGAAATGGAATTAGCAAGGGAAAGACTGGTGCGAGAATAGGGAGAAAATGATACTACCCAGGAAACAGAGAAGTTCAGCTCTGTCTAAGCACGTGGGGAGAAGGGTGGGGAATTAGGCAGAAACCTCCGTGTGACCTTCCCTCACTGCGCCGGCAAACTCATAGCTCTGCTTTCAACGTCTTTTCGTACTAATTGTCTTTATTATACACATCTTGAGGTTGAAATCTAACCAAAGGAGATATTTCGAGTAAGGCATGGTGACAGGTATCTCCTGGCGTACTGAGGCAGACCTCGGAACTGACAATTGAAAGACATAGGGTTCCTCAGGCAGCCTGGTTTCTGTGGGGTGGTGAGGAAGAAGTGATGGGAGTGGGATATGAAGTGTGAAAAGACCTTTAACCAAGCAATTCCGATTCTAGCTAGCTAACCTACAGAAATTCTAGCATATTTACACAAAGAATATGTATTGCGTAATGTTTGTAATAGCAAAATATTGGAAATAATGCAAATATCTCTTAACAGGAACTGGTCCGTTTATTCATTCACCAAGTATTTTTTAAGCTCCACTGTGTGCTGGGCATCATTCTAGGTACTAGGCATGTAACTGTGATCAACATAGATCAAGTCCCTGTTCTCATGCAGCTCACGGTGAGGGAGACAGAGAAGCTAACAAGTAAGCCATCTCAGATAATGGTTAGAGGTACAAGTGCGCTTTTATCTGAATCTGTTTGCTTCCTGAGTTCAGGGGGCAGGAATTTAGACAGTGAGAGATACCTATGCTAGGAGAAAAAGACAGCATAGTATAATGTGATGGAGAGTAAATTAGAGGGGGATGCTCAGACAACTTTCCTGAGGAGGCAGTGCTAGAGATGAGACTTAAATAACTAGTAATTAGTTGTCAACCATGTGGAGATCCTAGGGGGAGAGGGAGTACCAAGCATAAAGGCCTGCGGTGGGAACAAGCTCGATGTGTTCAGGGATCGGTAAGGGCAGCATGGCTAGAGCCCGTGAGTGGTGGGGGACTCTGAAGCTTATTCTTAGTACAGTGGGGTGCTGTTGGTCTTAGGTAATGGATATGTTCTGATACAACTGTACTGTGGAGTGCTAGGAAGCAATTCAAAGGGATAAGGTGAAATTAAATATACCACTGTGGGAAGATCTCCAAGATACATAGTTAAATGTAGAAAGCAATTGTAAAACAACGTATATGGTATTTCAGAAAACAAGACTGTGTGTGAGAGAGAGAGAGAGAAACGTGCAAAAGGAACTCTTAAGTGGATACACCAAATTGTTAAAGTGATTATTTCTAGGGACTATGGTGGGATTGGTGATGGGGGTGAAGGTGGGCTGTCACTTTTTACTCCTCATTGTATTTGGATTTCGTGACAAAGGAAGTACACAGACAGTGAGGAATTGGTGGTTGTATAAAAAGGCTTGGCTTTTAAGGGAAACAAGAAGAAAGCTAAGCAGGGATATAGGATTGCAAGACGTATTGCCCCTCATGACTTTCCTGCCTGCCACATTAGATTCTTCATCGAATTATGTAAATAGCTGGTGTATTTAACCCAACATTGGCCCCTCAGGATATCAAAACGTGTGATCGCTGCTTCTGATTGACCCTACAGTATGTTTCCAGTATTGCCAGGGGAGCATTTGTGGGGTTGATCCCTACTTGAGCACGAATGTGATCCTACAGGAATCAGTGACATTCAAGGATGTCGCTGTGGACTTCACCTGGGAAGAATGGCACTACGTGGACCCTGCTCAGAGGCGCTTGTACAGGGATGTGATGCTGGAGAACTACAGCCACCTGGTTTCTCTTGGTAAGGACCACCTCTCAGTGTCTTGCATATTGGTGCGTCTTTCCTTTCTCACTTGCTAAGGTTGTGGGGCTCATAGTTTGGGTGACTGTGAGCAGGGTATTTAGAGTCAGAGCTTGTTCATCTTTTGGGGACCCAGCTTTATAGGTTTCTGAGCCTATAAGAGGTCTTTCTTTTGCAGAATTGGAAATAGGCCATTTGATTGCATGCCTCCTCAAGCTGTAACTTTATTTTCCTTCAGAGTTCCTGAGGATCAGGGACTAGTACTGACTTGTAGGAGGGTTCTTTATCCACTTGCACAAACAACCAAATTGTGTATTTACCCATGAGCAGGATATCAAGTTTCCAAGCCAGAAGTGATCTTCAAATTGGAGCAAGGTGAAGAGCCATGGATAACAGAGGGAGAAATCCAAAGGCCTTTCTGTCCAGGTAACTGAGTGAGAATCAAGCATGTAATAATCAGTGCAGACAGTGGCACAGCCAAGGGAGGGGAGGCACCTTCGAATTGCTGCCTGGGAGCTCCTAGACTTGCAGAAGAGGCTGAGCATCTCTGGATGACACCTCTGGTGTCTCCCTTCTCCAGCCGGCTGCTCCTGCTGCTGGTAGGTCTTAGAGGGAAAGGTCCCCTTTTTCCTTTCCAAAAGTAGCCCTTTGTCCTACATTCTGTCTCCCTATCCTGTAACCCTGCTTGCTGGATTATTTTCTCCTCTGGTGTCCTCAGTCTCCCTTCATTATTTAGAGATCCCTTTTCTCACTCATTCAGACATTAATTGAACTTCTGTGTCTCCTCCTTGCTTTGTTGTGCTGCTTTCTCTGTTGGTGGCCTCAGACTTGTAGGAAATACCCACAGCCGTGATTCTCCCTCCCTCCATACCTTGCCTTCAGACTTCTTTCCCCAACTGCATTCCTATAACACCTGTTTGGGAAATGATACCATCTTTCTTCTATCCTGCCTTCATGCCACTTTGATTCGTTGCCTCCCTCCACAGTTCCTGGACCGTCATCCTCTCCTGGTCTTCTGACTTGCTAAGTGCTTCCTGGCTTTAGGTCTTTGGCCTTTCTTGCTTTTCTCCTTAAGAAAATTTGCCTTAAGGAGTCTTCTCTCCAGCTTCCTCCTCTTTCTTTCTATATTACCTCCCTAAAAGGGTGCCTGCCTTCTGTGGTTGCAGCTCTTTATTCTATGCTGTAGACTCAGAAATTGTTCTTACTTGTAGCCTGGTCACTTTTTTTGCGTCTCACAGGACACCTTCACTTGGGAGTCTCATGCAGTTCTTATTTAAAGACATAAAATCTAAATTAATCCTCTTTCATCCCCAGCCAGCATGTTTTGCTAGTTTGCCCATTACATGTTTCTCCCCGGCCTATTAAAAACCAGTGGATTTCTAATCCCTCAGGCCAGACACCACAGTCAGTTTAGTCTTTTTCTTTCAACCTTGGTTATTTTCCTCCTTTGAGAAGTATCTTAGATTTGCCTGCCTTTTAACTCCCACTGGTGACATCCTAAACCAGGCCTCAGGCATAGATTACTGTAATTCCCAGTTGAAATTGCTACTCTATCTTTTCTTTTTATGCTCCATATTGGATTTTTTAAATCATAGCTTTATTGAGAGAAGTCACATAACATAAAATTTACCCTTTTAAAGTGTACAATTCAGTGGTTCGGATATATAGGGTTGTGCAACCATCACTATTATCTAATTACAGAACATGTTCAACACCCCAAAAAGAAATCCCATACTCATCAGCTGTCACTTTCCATTCCCCATTACCCCCAGCTCCTGGCAACCATTAATCTACTTTTTATCTCTCTGGATTTGCCTATTCTGGATGTTTTCTACAAATGGAATCACATAATACATAGCCCTTTGTGACTGGCTTCTTCGACTTGGCATAATGTTTTCAAGGTTCACTCATGTTGTAGGATGTGTGACTTCATTCCTTGTATTGCTAAGGAGTATTTCGTTCTATGGATATACCACGTTTTGTTCATCTATTTATCACTTGTTGCACCATACTGGATTTTATTGCTTTATTTTCATAAACCACCCACCTCTGACAAAACCTTGCTATTACTACCTGTACCACATTGTAGGAAACAGAGACTCCCTTGATTTAAAGATTTCCATCATACCTTCCAGTATTATCTTTTATTCTTCCTAACATAAGCTCCACTTAAGTTGAACTTCTTTTAAATGTTCTCTGTAAATAGCATATACTTTCTCTCATTAGATAATACTTTCTGCCTATTTAAAGCCATCTATCCTTGAGTTCGAGGTCTGTCTAATCCATGAAACCTAATATACACTAATATGTTTATTTCTTCCTTCTCTGATCACAAATACCATTTATATCATCTCTACCTCACAAATTCAAATTTAATAATATACCATCTGCTGGTTTTGCTTTTTTTTCAGTTGTCAAAAGATTGAGTCTTGTTTCTGTTGTTAGATTTCAAGCTCCTAGAGAGTTTATTTATTATATTTCTATATATTCTGTCTGTGTTGCAGAGCATATAGAAGACAGTCAGAAATTACTTAATCGCTTGTTAGGTAATCTGGCTTGGGGGAGAACTTTCTCACATTCATTTCAACAAACATTTCTTGAATGTCCCACTGAGAAGTATTCTAAAAGAAATACAAAGCATTCTCTGTACTTGGGAATTTAGAATTGAGTCTTGTTCCAGGGTAAGGAATTTTGGGGTTTAGGGCCCCTTAGTTGCTGTTTTTTTCCCTCCTAACATTTTATTATGAAAATTTTCAAACATATGAGAAGTTGAAAAAATTATGCAGTGAACACCATATACCTACCACCAAGAGTCTATAGTTGTTAACATTTTGTTATATTTGCTTTATCACATATTTCTTCATCTCTCCATCTATCAATCCATTTTACTTTCTGATGCATTTCCAAGTAAGTTGCAGACATAAGTACATTTAACCCCTACATACATCAGCATGCATATCACTAATTACAGTTCAATATTTGTTTGGGTTTTTTTTTTAAAGAACACATTACATACAATGAAATAGACAACTCTTTTATGTACTATCCAGTTGGTTTTGACAAACGCAGTCACCCGCCTAACCCGAACTGGGATCGATATGAAACATTTCCATCATCCCAGAAACCTCCCTCCCCTTGGTTTTTAAAGGTTGCCATTCTTAGAACCTAGAAATAAATTAATTCTCTATTAGTATTCTCTATTAGGTTAAACAGAGGTTTAGAGATCAATTTATTAGGCAGATTAAAATCTTTTTGATTAAGAGAGATGAGTAGTGTAGAACCAGAACTCACATAGACTAAAACCATAGTCCCAATTTCAAGGGCAAGGATGATTTGCCTCCTGAAATATTAATTTGTTTTCAGTTTGTGAAGTATAGCCCTTGATCTCCAAGTATGTGAGAGAATCATTTCACTTAGATCACTGGCTGCAGATTTTCTCTGCAGGGTTTGAAGATCTGGAGCCTCAGAGGTCACTTTAAAGAAATCATGAGATGGATGCATTAGGAAGATAGATTCTGTTGTTTGTAAAATGCACAGGGGGCACAGAGAGCAGAGAGGACCCTGTAGGATGGAGTATGATCCTATTCTGTTTGTATCTATGCCTAACACACTCATGCTCACTTATTCCCTTACTCCCTAAGCAGCTCCCCCAAATGAGCGTCTTCATTCTAGACTTCCATACACTCTGGCTCTGCAATCTGCACTATCACCTCTCTTTGCTTTCCTTTCCTGCATTTTGGATCTTCTCCCCAAGCTATAGGACTAATTTCAAAACAGAGGCATGTATAATTTACATCTTTCATTTCCTCATTCCTACTGTAGCATTTTGTTTCAATGGGAGGGAATAGGGGATTTTTGCACCTTGGATTTCTTTCAGACTGGAAGACCAGGCCTGAAGCCAAATCACCAAATCTGCAGCAGAGCACATCTGAAATATCCCGTAGCACTGATGATCTCTCACGTGCCACGTTAGAAGACACTTGGGATGTTAGTAGCCAGTTAGAGAGGCACCAGGAAAACTGGAAGAGACATCTGGGGCCAGATGCATCCACCCAGAAGAAAATCACACCAGAGGAAAGCTTTGAGCAAAATAAATTTGGTGAAAACTCTAGATTGAACACAGACCTGGTTACACAATTGAACATTCCTTCAAGGCCTAGTGAATGTGATACACTTGGAAGCAATTTGGGACATAATTCTGACTTACCTAATCAGAATAATATCCTTGCAAAAAAGAAACCTTATAAATGTAATAAATGTAGAAAAGCCTTTATTCATAGATCATCGCTTACTAAACATGAGAAAACTCATAAAGGAGAGGGAGCTTTCCCAAGTGGTACAGATCAGGGAATTTATCCTGGAAAGAAACACCATGAATGTACTGACTGTGGGAAAACCTTCCTCTGGAAAACACAACTTACTGAGCATCAGAGAATTCACACTGGGGAAAAGCCCTTTGAATGTAACGTGTGTGGGAAGGCCTTCCGGCATAGCTCATCCCTTGGTCAGCACGAGAATGCTCATACTGGAGAGAAACCCTACCAGTGTAGTCTCTGTGGGAAAGCCTTCCAGCGCAGCTCCTCCCTTGTTCAACACCAGAGAATTCACACTGGAGAAAAACCCTATCGATGTAATTTATGTGGGAGGTCTTTTAGGCATGGCACATCCCTCACTCAACATGAGGTCACGCATAGTGGAGAGAAACCCTTCCAGTGTAAGGAATGTGGGAAAGCCTTTAGTCGATGTTCTTCCCTTGTCCAGCATGAGAGGACTCATACAGGAGAGAAACCTTTTGAATGTAGCATATGTGGGAGGGCTTTTGGTCAGAGCCCATCCCTTTATAAACATATGAGGATTCATAAGAGAGGCAAACCTTACCAAAGCAATAACTACAGTATAGATTTCAAGCACAGCTCATCTCTTACTCAAGATGAAAGCACTCTCACTGAAATGAAATCCTATCATTGTAATGACTGTGGGGAAGACTTCAGTCACCTTGCAGACTTTACTGACCATCAGAGGATCCATACTGGAGAGAACCCCTATGATTGTGAGCAGGACTTTAACCAACAACCTATTTCTCATCCTGGAGAGAAGCCCTATCAGTGTAATGTATGTGGAAAAGCTTTCAAAAGGAGTACAAGTTTCATAGAGCATCACAGAATTCATACTGGAGAAAAACCCTATGAATGTAATGAATGTGGAGAAGCCTTCAGTCGACGCTCATCACTTACTCAACATGAGAGAACCCACACTGGAGAGAAACCCTATGAATGTATTGACTGTGGGAAAGCCTTCAGTCAGAGTTCATCCCTCATTCAGCATGAGAGAACTCATACTGGAGAAAAACCCTATGAATGTAATGAATGTGGGCGAGCCTTCCGAAAGAAAACCAATCTGCACGATCATCAGAGAATTCATACTGGAGAAAAACCCTACGCTTGTAAAGAATGTGGAAAAAACTTCAGTCGAAGCTCAGCTCTTACTAAACACCAGAGAATTCATACACGAAATAAACTCTAGAAACCCTGAAATTAAGGAATATGCAAAAAGCTTTAGCTAAAATATTGTTCAGGATCAGAGGATTCTTACATGAGAGAAAGCTTGAGAATGTATTCAGTTATGTGTGTGTTTGTATGTTGCGTGTGGAGAAAACTGCTAGTAGACTTTTTTAAATAAATAAAAGCCACATTCTCAGATCTGATTATAAACTTTTGTAAGAAACAACTACAAATATCGTATCTAACCAGTTGGAAATTATATGCTTCTATATTGGACTTTATAAAGCTTTTGAATATATGTATGCAGGAGATCACCAACATTGAACAGTTTGACTTGTAACTCTTATTTACAGGCTTTTTTTAATAAATAAAAATCCTGCAGTAGTGACCAAAATTCACTTTTTAAAATTGCTTGACAACTGCATTCAGCTGCAGCTCTTACATTAAATTCACCATGGAAACCAATTCCACCTCTAGGAATTCACCATCCGAAGAATTAGGTCAACTGATCCAACCACTTCATTGTACAGATGAAGAAACTGAAAGCCAAAGATGTGAAGTGGTTTGCACAGTGTGATGCAGCTTATAATGGCAAAGCTGGGTGGAGAATGCAGGTCTCCTGGATCTTTGGTCCCATGGTCTTGCCACTAAAAAGGTATTTTGGAATTCAGAGAGCTTTAAAATAAATCAGATTCATGAACATTTAATGAGCACTCATGAGTTGGGTACTTTGGGAATTCATAAAAGCATAAGAGGCCCCCAAACATATGCAAATTTGTCACAGACTTACTGAAAGCAGCTTGTTGGAAGCTTGTAAACCAAAATGTTAACAGAAGCTGTAAATAGTTGAACTACTGGTGACTTTTTTCCTTTTCCCAAGTATCATAATTACACTTTCAGTTAACATGCATCAGTTTCGTAAAACTATCAAATACTCTTATTGTGCTTTTTATGACACTCCCTTGAAAGAGCACTGTCCCAAGCTTCCTATAATGAATCAATGGGAAAACAACACAAAGCTAAGAGGAGAATTTTTCCCCAAATTCATTTTACTGTAGAGAAGTATATATCCAATTATCCATTGCCATAAAATTTGTCTTTAAATCAGTTTAAAGAATCAGCATGTAATGGTTCATTTTCTGTGCCAAGGAAATATTTTGCCATAAAAGAATTAACTTTTTTAGCTCTGTGCTGCTTTCCCATCAGTAAAGCATGAGCTAAATTTCAGTAGCCCACTCCAATATTTAATGTCCCCTAATGCCTCCTATGGGCTATCATAAAGGAATTTCTAGAAACTTTGTTGGCTCATTGGCACCAACAGTGCAGATAAATTTGGAAGCAGCTGTGGACACTGACCCCTTTCACACAAGAGCCTTTTTCCCTTAAGATAAGCAAATCTTCCCACCCTAATGATGGATCATGGGGAGGAGTGATATCGGTGGTGTTGATGGTGAACCTTCCCTACTGGCTGCTTTGCAAGGCGGGTAGCAAGACCCATGATCCTTGTCTCATCCTGGATAACATGAGGCAGCTCCCAAACATTCTTCATAATTCTTTGCAGGAGAAATGTACAAGGGGGCCAAGATGTGGGATGTCTGGCTCGATGAGTCTATCATGTGGAGCAGGATGGGGTGCTCCATAGCAGATCTGCCCTTCCGAGACAGTAACCATTCAAAAATACCTTGTTAGGTGATGTTCCATGCTCAGCACACACACAATGCCAAGGTCCTGCTTGTGTTGTCTGATGACATAGTTTGACAATGGGTAATTCTACTCCATCCCTCCCCTACTGGTTGGCTAGGATTCCTATCAGGAACTCATTTTGATGCTGATTGTTTGGGGATCCCAATAGTGAACTCTTTGCAAGAATGGCATGAATTGTGACCAAGTGAGTGCTACCCTACTGTTACGGAAGTTTATAAAGACTTAGTTCCAGAAGACCCAAAGGAGACTGCTGGTTTATGTGTGGAGCCTGGCCTAGATCCAGTCAACCTCTGAATTTCAGTGTATCCTCATTGATAGGGAGCCCAGGATGTATGTGTGGCTGATAAAGCAAAGGATTCTCTTGTCCCAGCAACTATGCACCATGCATTTATTAACCCCCAGCTTTCTAGGCCACGTGAAATGCATCCTTGTAACATCATTGTATTATTTCAATAAATAGCCTTCTTAGTTGATGGGAGTCAGTTTGTCTTTTTCAATTTTCAGAGCTTGGCTAAGACTAAAGAGTGGCACATCAAGGAGGAGGGATTAACGGCTAAACAAAGCACAGCCAGGTGAGTTGTTAATAGGTACCATTTATTGAATGCTTCCTATTTGAAAGAAATGGTGCTACGTATTTTACAGCCATCATTTCATTAATCCTTAGAAGTACCCATTCTAGGTCTTGTGATAGCTTTTGTCTTTGCCCAGCTGTTTTCTCCCTCTTCCTCTTGTAACAGTCCCTGCTGTGCTGACCACAGGAACACAAGTCAAGACATCCATGGGGCTTGGTGATAGTTCTAGGGGGAAGCATGTGACCTAGTTGAGTCAGTTGGAGTTCTTTGCCAGAACTTTTTCAAAATAGAGTTGGCAGGGACACTTTAATTTTGAGGTTGCTACGCTGGAAAAGTGAAGGCCTTGAGCTGCCTGGAGCCTGATTCCTTATCAGAGGGGAGGTCTGTTGTAGTAGGAGAGGATGCAGCTGATGTGATGGTGTTCTCATTTCTAATCCCTGAGGTCCTTGGTCCTGGCTTAATTTCTGAAACCTTTCCTGGGATTCACTGGGCTCCCCACTATCAGTCCAATGATCCCCCCCTTTTGGATTAAGCTAATTTGTCAGATTTCTGTTGCTTGCATTAAAGAAACCTAGTACATATATTATATTCTTGTTTTATAATAGGGGGAAAAACCCAGAGATGTAATTCACTTGAGGTAGCACTGCCCATGACAGATTCAGGCTTCGAACCCAGGACTATCTGGCTGCAAAGACATAGCACTTAACCTCTCACTGTCTCCAGAGCCATGTTATGTTCAAGGAGCGGCATATGACGCAACATCGTTGGAGGGGTGAGTGGATGAAGGAATATAGTGATAGGTTGTAGGCCATGCAGAGACAAAACAATGAAGGGCCTTGGAATGTTTTTCCTATTTCAGTAAATTAAATCCCCTAAATTCACCCGCGACCTTTACACTTAATCTATCAGTTATTTACATTTGCCCATACTGTAGATAAGATCTTGTATCGTATTTTAAAAAAAAATGTTCGTCATAGATATTTTCCATGTTCCTACACAGTCTCAAGAGCTCCTTAACAAGTAAGTCCCCTACTTTTGCAACATACTTGGATTGTTTTTGGTGGTGTTTTTTATAATAATGACATTGAATACTTTATTTTTTTAAGCACCCCTCCTCTTTTTCTTATAGAACCTTTTCTTAAAATATCCAGAATGAGAGAAAATATCCAAAATGGGATTACTGGGTCAGCCTGTGTAGGTTAGTATAACCAGATGATGTGAGACTCATACAAGAATAAACTGGATACAACAGCACAGAAATAATAGTCTCAAAATTGCAAAAGGGAGCCAGGAGAAAACCAGTCTCCCGCTCCTGATGTCTGGGTGTCTCTGGGGAAGGCCCCAGGCAGGCATTATGTCCACCAGAGCATCTGGCTCAGCTCTGTGCCAGCTTGGGAAGATAAAACTGCAGTTAGAAGACACGATGATGGTGCTGCCCAATTCCTTATAGCTGCTGAACTAGTTAGTTCTTACTCATCTGTTAAAATGCAAATGTCACTTCAGGGAAGGTTTTAATGACTGCCCTACTTAAACCAAATCAGTCTCCTTTTATATTTTCACAGATTACTGTTAATGTCCTTCATGTTACCACAATTTGTGATTGTTTGCTTGTCTCCCCACCCCACCCTGCACTCAGTTGTGAGTTCCAGGAAGGCAGGGTCCGCGTCTACCTTGCTAACTTTTTTTGTTCCCCTGCTTATCACAATGCATAAGTAGGTACTTAATACCTTGTTAAATGAGAGATGAAGTGGAGATTTGTTGATAGACAAAGAAGACTGACTTATAAATGAAAAGGTAATCAGTCTTGAAATCAGAATATTGCAAAAGAAAGCAGTAAGTTACTATTTCATGCCCATTAGATTGGCAAAAATTTGGAAGTCTGGCTGGGGAAAATGAGAACCTGTATACACTGCTGGTGAGAGGGTAAATTTGTATAATCATTTGGGGGAGTAATTTGGCAATATCCAGTAAATTGAAGCTAAGCATACCTTGTGACCCAGCAGTTCCATTTCTAGGTCTATACCCCAGACTAGACATTCTCCCAGGTGAGCACCAAGACATGCACAAGGATGCTCACTGCAGCAGTATTTGGAGTAGTAAAAATACGGACACAACACAAATGTCAGTAAGTGAATGGGCTAATAAATCGTAGCATATTCTTATAATTTAATACAATGCAGTACTTAAATGAAGGAACCACAGCATCTGGCAAAAACAAAAACAAACAAAAGCCCAGCTCTGCCTATTCCACTCCTGTACCCACGCGGCTAATCGTGGCTGGAGAAATGGAGCCACGGTGACTAGTCCCACTTTAAATTCCTGATTGCCAACCCCAAGCGTTTGTTTCCCTGGTCAAGTCAGTGTCCCAGTCTCCTAAGGCACTGTTTTACAGCTTCTCTCTTCTCAACCTCCGGCACTTCACCCCATCCTCACTCAGCTGGTTACCTTATTTCCTAGTTAACGGAGGAAAATAAAATCGATCAAAAGATAACTACTCACCTGCGTGCATCTTGTCTGTGCGCTCTTCCTTCCTGTTCCTGTGGTTGACACTTGGTTCTCTTATCTAAGACCAACTTCTTTTCTGATGCACTAGATCCCATTCTTAAACTAGGACGTCATTCCTACAACTGTCCTCTTTCCTGCATCTTTTTCTTGGCTACTGAATCTTTCCCATCAGCAAAATTATGTGTAGTTTTTCTCATCTTCAATATATATATTTGTAAATATATGTCAATATAAATATATATGCTGCATCCCCCTCCGCCTGCCACTCCATTTCTTACTTCACTTAGTAGACACTCAATAGAGGTGTCTCATACTCATTGTCTCCAGTTATCTCTTGCACCTCCTCCAATCAGGTCTTCGTTTCTGCTGTTGTCAAATGTCACTGATGGACTCCATGTGGCTAAATCCAATGGTCTTTTTCCAATCCTTTTTCTTGACCTTTCAGCGTCATTTGGTACAGTTGGCTACTTCCTCACTCTTGACACATTTTTTTCCCCTTGGTTTCCAGGTTATCACACTTACTTAGATTTCCATATACTTTATTGACAGCTACTTCTCCCAGGTTGTTTTTCTTTTTGCTGTAGACGTGGAAATTCTATGGCTGAGTCTTTGGACCTCTTTTCTTTTTCTTCAGTCACCCTCATTGGAGCTCGCTTCCTGTCTCCTGGCTTTCTGCTTGTTGACAACTTCAAATTTTCTATCTCCAGCCCAGGATTCCGTACTGTATATATATACCATTCCATACAACCAAGTGCCTATGCGACATCTCCACTTGGGTGTCTAACAGATATCTCCAATGTAATATGTCCAAAGATGACCTAACCCATAATCTCCCCTTTTCCCAGCGCTATCATAATCATGTTCCTCCCTCAGTCTTCCCATCTGGAAAAAGCCAACCCCATCCTTCCAGTTGCTCAGGTCCCAAAGTGGGAAATCATTCTTGATTCCTTTCTTTCACACCCCACATCCAAGCTTCAGTAAGTCCTGTTGGCTGACTTACAGGCTATATGAGGATGACCATTTCCTGTTGCCTCTACCTTCACCCAAGTCACTGTCATCATCTCTGCCTCAGATATTTGCAATAGCTTCCTAATTGGTTTCTCTGCTTCCATTCTTGCCTCTCTATGTTCACAGTTCATCAGCTAGAGTGGTACTGTAAAAATCTAGGATCATGTCACTCCTCTGCTCGTAGCCCTCCAATAGCTTTTCATTTTACTGAATAAAAGCTAAAGTAAAAGCTCTACGTAGTTTTGCCACCACCTGTCACCCCATATTGCCTGACTCACCATATCTTCCTTCATGATCACTCTGCTCCAGGCCCACTGGCCTCCTGCAGTAACTTAAACACACATGGCAAGTTTCCACTACAGTGTCTTTACGTTTGCTGTTCCTTTTCCTGGAATCCTCTTTCCCTAGATAACACATGGTTTGGCCCCTCACGTCCTTCAGATCTTTACTCAAGATCTTACCAGAGAGCACTTTCTTGCTTACCCTATCAAAATAGCAGTCCCCCTCCATGGCACACCCCTTCTCCCTTCCCAGCTTCATTTTTTCCATAATAGCTACCACCACCTGACATTCTAAGTATTTCACTTGTTTATTATATGTCCTTCTCTAGAAGGTAAGCTCCATGAGAGTAGGGATTTTGGGGGGGGTGGGAGAGGTGGTGGTAAACTTTCTTGAAGCATAACATACAGAAAAGTGCACAAAAAGCAAATGAACAGCTTGATGATAGAGGGCAGCAACTTTTCTCTCTTTTGTTCAGTGCTGTGTCCCCAGCACAGGAGATACTCAAGTATTTAATGAATGGTTGAACTCGATGTACATGTATTAACAAGGCTTACATACTGTAAACAGTTGAAAATAAAGTTGAGGGTTACATACACTGTGATATGTTAGAACTTTTTAAAAATCCATAATACCTATTTTTTATCAACTCATGAAGTAAAAGTAAGAAAGTATTAAAATAACAGCTTCAGAGTGGTGGTTTCCTCTGGAGCCAGAGAGGAGAGGGATAAGCAAGAATAAAAGAAAGCTTAGACTGTCCTTTTATTTTTTTTTAAGCAAGTATAGTAAAATATTAACATTTGTTAAAAGAGAATGATGCATAGATATGTGTTGTATGTGCTTCTCTGAATGTTTACACTCTGTTACAGTTAGTCAGCCTCCTTGCTCTTATCTGGTCCTTCCTCCCACAAAGCCACCTGCTTGGTTCCGCTCAGGGCGTGAGCCTGTCTGACCTGTACATCCAGCAGGCCTGATGGATTTAGGAGAAGGAAAAATGGGCATTCGTGTTCCCAAGGGTGAGAAGCAGATCCAAGCCCATAAACGAAGACAGGGGACTTGACACTGTCAAGATCAAGCAAAGTCATTTCAACTCCCTAGAGATGGCTTTTTAGGGACCAGATACAGTGGCCCTTTCCTTTTCTTCCTAGGCACAACACAAATGTGGACCCCCCTCCCCCCGCCGTACACAGTTGTATATCTTAGTTGCTGGTCCTTTTAGTTGTGGGATGTGGGAAGCCGCCTCAACGTGGCCTGATAAGCGGTGCCATGTCCGCGCCCAGGATCCGAACCCTGGGCCGCCACAGCGGAGCGCACAAACTTAACCACTCGGCCACGGAGCCGGCCCCTGTATCTGTTTTCTTTGATGCCAGAGATCACAAGACGGGATTTCAGTGGATCCTGGATAGGGTGACCATATAATTAATCGTCTAAACCAGGACCCTTGAGAATGAAGGGGGAGCTAACCAGACAGGAAGCTGGGGCTGTGCTCGAAAACAGAGACAAATGTTTACCCTGTTCCTGGAAGACAGAGTGGCAGGAGCCACAGGGCTGTCTCAGCAGCTGCTCGGCCAATCTAGGGGATGACCCACCTGGAGAAAGGTTAGAGGCAAGGACTGCATGGAGCCAAAGGGGAAACGAGGTCGCCCTACTATTGAACACATGGACTGGCGTGAAACTGAACGCAGACCCCAGACAGGTGTGCATCTCCCTTTGAGGAGGCCGCCCTGTCGGGGCAGGCCACTGGCCCGAATGGATGGGCACCTTCCTTCTCCTTCGCCGTCGCCCTTCTCACACCCCAAGTGCGGGCATGTAGGCATCTAAGAATAAAGTATGAGTTTGGAATTTTACACTAGGCTAGACTAAGTTTTAATAACCGTAAGTAAGCACAAAATTGCTTTTCCTCAGGTTAAGGGATCCTAAAGGAGGACTGACAGCGTGACTGGGGTGAGAAGGCCTCTTAATGGTGATATCACACCGGTTAGAAAGGTTTATACCACCAAATTTAGAATAACAGGATGATCTGGGTGTGCCACTTAAAGAGGTGTCAAAGGAAGCCCACTTGCAACCCCCGATATTTTACGAGCTCTGGGTGGGAAGCGCAGTCCACCAGACGCGGGCCGCCAGCGCGGAGGGAGAGGCCTCCGATTCCTCTGGTCAAGTGGCGCCGCTGGAGACTACATTCCCCGAAAGCCTTGGCGGTGGCGCACTTCCGCCTCCGGGTCGGAAGTCTTCCGCCGCCGGCACGGCCGCTCGTGGAGCGGAACCAGGCTTTGGAACCTTGCGCGCCTGGTTGTGGTCTGAATAGGCGTGTGTCCAGCGCTGCGTGTTCGCTCCCCTCTGAGTTTGGGCGCGTGTGTGACCTCTGCCAGCGTCTTGCCGCCGGGACCAGGCTAACCTCCTCCGGTGGCTGCCACCAGCCGCCTGTGCCCCATCTCCGGAACACCCCAGGCCCGCCCCTCCCGTCTTCTCCCGCGCTTTGCACAGTGGCTGAACGCTGCCCTTTCCTATTACGTTAGCTGGACAAAATGGGCATAAGTTAAACCGTATGAAATTGTCTAGGTAAGTGGAGAAACTCCAGGTAACCGTTCTCCTCCTTCTGAAAAAGTGTGGCTTTTTCTGAGGAAGTGTAAGTTTCTACTCCCCTGAAACAAGATCCTAAAAACAGAGACCCCATTTCCTCTTCCTCTGTCCTCCCTTCTGCTCCCTTCCTCGGGAGGACAGGAAGTGCGCTGAGGCAGGCTGAAGGGTTACACTCCCGGTGATGGTCTAGGTCATTAGCACCACCTCTTCCATAGGAAATCATTTAAACTGGATGAAATGTGTAAAAGAGAAGAGCATTCCAAAAGACTGACGAGAGAGGGAAGAATTAGGGCTCCAACTCTGGGAGAAGCAAGAGACTGAACTCACAATCCCAGCGCTCAGCTGCCTGAAGGCATTTGCTGGTGGAATGAGATACCTGTGAAACCCACCAGTGCGGTTGGTGGACTTGAAGTATAAGGGGTACAAGTGTAGAAGTGTGGAAAGCTGGGAGTCTGAATAATCGCCCCACATTTGAAAAGACACATTCAAGAAAATGTGGAGATACGCCCTGACATAGACATGTCTCCCAAATTCAGGTTGTCTTGGAGATGTAGGGAACCTCAGCCTTCAGGCTTACAACGCTGGCCAGACTAGTGGTGTGCCCAGGTGTCCGACAGAACCAAGTGAAAATGATCCCTAGAGAAAGCTATTATCGTCTCAAAGTATTCACTTTCACCTTTTTTTAAGTAACTTCCAGCACTTTCAAAGATAACCAGATATACAATGAAATAAGACTTGAAAGAGAACATGCAGAAATAACAGACAAATACAGACACAAACACTTCACATGTTGGAATTATCAGAGAAAGAGTATAATACCAATTCCTAGTATTTTTAAAGGGATAAAAGACAAGCTTGAAAATACCTACAAAAACAAGGCGTTAAAAATTGACATAGCAGGGGCCGGCCCAGTGCGCAGCAGTGAAGTGCGCATGTTCTGCTTCGGTGGCCAGGAGTTTGCCGGTTTGGATCCTGGGTGTGGACATGGCACCGCTTGGCAAGCCATGCTGTGGCAGGTGTCCCACATATAAAGTAGAGGAAGATGAGCACGGATGTTAGCTCAGGGCCAGCCTTCCTCAGCAAAAAAGAGGGGGATTGGCAGCAGTTAGTTCAGGGCTAATCTTCCTCAAAAAAAAAAAAAAAAAAATTGACATAGCAGATTTAAAAAAATAACCAAATAGAACATTTAAAAAAAATAATTTAACAAAACTGTTTAAGAGCAAATTAACGTAAAAAGAAGTAATGAGCTGAAATATAGCTGAGAAGAAATTGTCTAGAAACTAGTGGGCAGAGACAGTGAGATGAAAAGTACAGAAAACAAAGTAAAACACATTAAACCACTGGGTAAGAAAGCCCAACATAAATTTAATCAGATTCCCAGAAGGAAAATAAAGAAGAGTCTATAAGAAATATTTAAAGAGTTTTAAGAGTTAATGGCCAAGAGTTTTCCAGAACTGGTGAAAGATATACCAAGCTACAGATTCAAGAAGCCCAGTGAAACTCAGAGGATAAATAAAAATAAGTCCACAACTAGATACATTGTAGTAAAACAACAGAGTATAAAAGGTAAATAAAATCTTAAATTAGAGAAAAAGATTAATTAACTTCAGAGAAGTAACAGCTGACTTCCCAATATCGGCAGTGGAAGCCATGTGAATGGGGAATGAAATCTTCATTGTATTTAAAGAAAATGCCAACCCAGAATTCTAATATAGCAAAAATCTTTCAGGAATGGGAACACAATAAATCCCTTTTATGCAAGTAAGAACAGAAATTTCTTCATAAGCAGAACCTAAATAAAGAAAATTCTAAAGGCTGTGTTTCATACAAAAGGAAAATGATCCCAGATGGATGGTCAGAGACACAAGAAAGAATAAAGCCCTGGGGCCAACCCCGTGGCCAAGTGGCTAAGTTCCTGCGCCAGCTTCAGTGGCCTGGGGTTTCACCAGTTCGCCTCCTGGGCGCCGACATGGCACCTCTCATCAGGCCATGCTGAGGTGGCATCCCACATGCCACAACTAGAAGGACCCACAACTAAAAAAAATAAACAACTATGTAGTGGGGGCGCTTTGGGGAGAAAAAGAAAATAAATACATTAAAAAAATCTTTAAAAAAAAAAGAAGAAAGCCCTAAGTGGTAAAATGTGGATAAATTAAATGATTAACTATAAAACAACATTATATATGTCTTTAAACATATAGAATTACAAAACACTGATACTTCCATTTCTAGCTGTAACACAGTAGTTTGTAGTAAACTAAGACTCCTACTATAAATAGCTAGAAAAGCTGGATAAAATACGGATATATATATATATATATTTGAAGGCATTGGCCCAGGCAGCCAGGAATTGAGGATCCAAGATATCAGAGAGAAGGGAAGCTCAACATTCTGGTCCCTCCTCTCCCAGAGCAACAGTTGACCATAGCTAGGGACATCATTGTAAAACGATTGGAAAACAAAGGATTAGAAAACATTAGAAGGAGGTAAAGAAAAAACACATTTTACCTTCAAAAAGTAAACACTGGAAGAATGAGAAAAACAAAATAAAATCCCACAGGTATCTAACAAGCCAATGGATAGAACAGAATAAGAAGTATTTTATTAATTCAAAAGGACATGTGAGGGGCTCCCCAACACCCACAATACAGCCAGATTTGAGAGAGCTGCCCTGGAGTCCTCTCTTCCAGCTGAGGAGTCACAGTGGGCGATCTGACTCTCTGCTTGAGGGGTCGATGGAGGAGTGAAGTTGCGTCTCTGACCCTGACTTAAATCAGAGGGTAGTGGGCTGGATGGCAGCTCTGGGCCCGGAAAAATCCCAGTATTCCACAGCCACAGACGCCCTGCCTTCCATCCCCAACCTCACTCAGAAGCAATTCTGCAGCTTCTGGAAAGGGATGGCTTTGACCTACCACATCCCTGTCCCCAAATGGTCCCTGCATCCACAAGGGTTTGAGTGTGGAGCAAAGGGGCAGGAGCCCAGCATGGAAACTGGACCAAGGGTTGGGAGAAAAGC